TGGCGTTCCAGCACAGCGAGCGCATCTACTTCCGGGCGTGCAGGGACATCCGGCCTGGGGAGCGGCTGCGGGTCTGGTACAGCGAGGACTACATGCAGCGCCTGCACAGCATGTCCCAGGAGACCATCCACCGCAACCTGGCCAGAGGTGAGTGCCCACGCGCCCGCCGCCCGGCCCCAGGGGAGGCTGGGAGAGCTTCTCGTGGAGCTTCCTAAGAAAACCGATGGGGAATGCAGCTCCCCGGCAACGGGGAGACCCAGAGCGATTCAGGGGGACAGGCGGCCGAGGTCTGAGCAGCAGCTCTAGGCCAGCCAGTGGCCGCCCCTCTGTGCTCTCCTCCCCCAGAAGTGGTCTCGGGGACCCCTGCCACACACGTCTCAGAGCATCAGTGACAGAGACAAGTCCCCACAGCCAAGCACATAAGTTTAATCAAAATGTGTCCCGTTTCCTCAATTTAAATGGATGGAAAGATGTCACAAACCGCCCCGCCTCAGTGACAACAGCAATGATGGGTAACGTTTACTAAACACTTGCCGTGTGCTGAGCAGGTTTTCTGCACGCCCCGGGTCATCATCACAATTGCCCCCCCCCCCGTCAGTGTGCTGTGAGAGCTAGACGGAGTGGTGAGCGTGACACGTGTAGAACGATGCCCACCTCGGTCACAGTAAGCCCTCCGTGATGAACTTTGCATGCTCACGATCCCATGTGGATGGTTTTGCCCATCTTACAGCTGTGCAAACTGAGCATCAGATACACACAGTGAGTCATGCAGGGGCACGTGGCTAGGAAGGGCAGAGCTAGGTTTCTAACCCACACCTGCCGACTTCAAGGTCTAAGTTCTAACCTATGTGGCCTCCCAGACAAACCAGTCTCCTTGCTGCCCCCTCCTGGTCTCATTACCGGAAGCCCTAATGATAGGACGTGAAAGGACAGTGTCTGTCGGAAGGTTGGATGGAGGTGGGGAGGTGGCCTTAGTCACGGGGAGCCTGGAGGGCAGGGTGTCCATCCAGGCGCCCTTCACATGGTTGCACGTGGTCTTAAATACCCCCAGCCTCTAGCCCTTTAGTCCTTCCTCACCCTGGCCGGAGAAAACTGGTGAACCCAGGTCCTTCTTCCGAGGGGATCTTCTTTGCACCAAAGCCATACATCCAAACACCCAGAGTCCCTCTGGTGCCAGGGACCACAGCTGTGCCTAAGCCCCACCATGTCATGTTCCTGACCAAGCTACTTATTGGAATTAAATCTTCCTTTGGGATATGAGTGAGGAAGACAAGAAGGGACTAGGGGTAACCTATTGAGATTAAGCTGTCTTTAAAAAAGAGAACTAAACAAATTGTGACCATTGAGTGTGCAGCTGCTGCCTGACTTGGTAAAAGGTATCTGGTGATTGCGTGGGCAGTGAGAGACACGACACACATATCCATCTCTTGTCTTCTTTGCGTCTGGGGGTCGGGCACGTGTCGATTTCACTTGAAGGCACGCTTGCTTCCGTGATAAGGTTGCAGTGGTTTCCATGTGACCTCTGGAGATGCCTCATGTAAGAGTGTCTGGCATATAGTAGGTGCTCAATAAATCTTTCTTGAATGGATAAAAGAAGAAATGAATAAAGACCGCTGAGAAGCTTCCAAAAGACTCATACCACCAGAAGAAAAGAAAATCAAGAGAAGTCATATCTGAGCACACAGGTTTCGTCCCTTGGCCATAACCTTCTTGCATTCTTCTGGATTCACAAGGCCCTTTTCTTCCCAGCGCCTTCTCCAGCCTGCGTAAGGCTGCACCACCCTCAGAGACCCCTGGAGACAGAGAAGGGAGTGAGCTTTCAGGAGTGGTTCCGGGGAGGCACGTCAGACAGACTTGAAAGGACAAACAGCGAGACGAGTGAAGATCCAGAAGGGAAGGGTGTCTGTCTCGGCCAGGCTGAGCAGTGGGAAGCGGGAAGGAAACGGGAAGCCACAGCGGGGCAGTGCCAGAGCTGCAGGTGGTCTTGGCTCGGAAGCCCTTGGGAGAAGCCTGGGAGCTCAGTGGCTTTTCCACGTGAGTGTCCGTAGCGGCAGCTTCAGCAGACTCTGGGTGCTTCCGTGCTGTCTTGGATTGCTGTGCCTGTCCTGCTCCGGAAGGGCGAGCCCTGCGCCCTAAGGTCTTACCTAGGAGGAGGCTTCTTTGTAATTGTAGGCTGCCAGAGCATGAATTATTAGTTCTTATTAAGTAGGGACATTGGTTGGAGCCAGAGCTGCTTCCCGAAGACAGTATAAATTATTCCTTTATGGTTATCTTTGAAGAATAGAATGCAGCTGAAGCTTATATTTTAAAAATTCATATTATTTGACCTGTTTTGAATCATTGATTTACTTTGAGGGTTTTCTGCTTGTTTTTTGTTTTTCCATATTGTATGGAGGCTTTGGAATCCATTTCATATGACTTAGAGGTCTTTTTTTGGCCCATAGATTTTTCTAGAAACCTTAATCCAACAAAGTCTCTGGCTCATCCTAGGAAATTTGAGCTACCTTATTTTTAAGCAACAGTGAAGACTCTCTGGCAATGTACAGCTTTGACCTCCTAGTGTCCTCCACTGTTTGCTGCCTGATTGGTCCATGGCAAGGTGAAAAAGGGTGGCCCTTGATTTTTTGAGAGTCTCAATGGGCAAGTGCCATATCTAATCTATGAGACAAACGTTGCATTTTAGTAAGTTCTCTCCATCTCTCCCCTTTCTGCAGCTCGGCTGTTATAGAAATGCAGGTTGCGGGGGTGGGGGGGTGGGGCAGGGAGGCTGCCTGAGTTGCAGAAGCCTCAGAGAGAAAATTGCCCCTTATGCTTTCATCCTGAATAGATCACTCCCTTTTGCACTGTTACCTGTAGGAAACCTGGAGTCATACGTGCGGCAGGGCGCAGCACCCCATGCCAGCTGTGGGAAGCCGAGCGTGGAACATCTGGATTGCTCGTGGACAGCCCTTGGCCTTCCACTCAGAGCCCCAAATTAGCAAATGTAGCTATCAGAGCCTAATTACAGCATAAATTCAGGTCAAGGCACTGCTCAGTGTCACATCACCCAGACTTCCGAACCCCACAGGCTGCAGTGGGACCTTCTGAGGGCTGAAGAGAGGCCACCGCCTTCCCAGCGTCTCCCCCAGGGAGCTCGGCTGTTCTATGGCGGTTGATGAGACTGTGTTGGCCACTTTAAAGAATCAAGCTAAAATCATTCATTCTTGGGGAGCTCATCAAAGTCTTTGGAATAGTTCAGAGTCAACCGAAGTAATTCACATGACAGAAACAGAAAAGGAGACATCCTTGGAATTGTCAGGGAAGGCAACACGGCCATATTTGGAGGCTGCGTCGGGTCACCGTGGCCACCCTGTCCTTTTTCTTGTCGGAGGCTGCCATCGTAGGCATGCCTGTCCTCCCTTTCTTCCAGCCTTGGCTGTCAGTGAGAACCGCAGAAGTTTGGATCATGCTGTCTCACCTATCCCTGGTCTTCTGATTGCTGGGAGAGTCAGCAAGGACAGTTGCTATAGGATGGACTCGTCCCTAAGTGGGTTGTCTCAAGAGCAGCCAGGCAGGAGGCAGGAGTGAGGCTCCTGGTGTTGCACGTGTACCTTTTACCAAGTCGAAGCAGCGTCTTGTCATTGCTAGGGCTGGGGACCTATGCTCACTGGCCCCCAGGTATGTTCCCACCGCCCAGCATGTTGGGGGGGATGGCATCTTCTAGGGTCACAGGATGTCCAGCCCCTTTAAAAGAACTTGTGATTACCCTTCCCTATAGACTGCTCTTAACTTGTAAGTTTTACGCTTCTATACATGAGGCTTCTTCGAAACTGTCTCTTTAAAAAAGGTATTTCCACTTTCGGGTCCTGTGACGCTAGCTCCCACGATCACCCAGAGATCCACCTCTCCCTGTAGCACCTGCCCCACGAGGCCAGACTCAGAGGGATGTGTCAGGCGACTTCCTAACAGGAGGCCTGCTCTGTTTTCTGTTGGTTTCTCCACGTCGGGGATTTTCCCCACTTCCTTACGCCCTGGTTTTCCTTCCTAGGAGAGAAGAGGTTGCAGAGGGAGAAGTCTGAGCAGGCTCTGGATAAGCCAGAAGACCTGAGGGGTCCCATTCAGCTCCCCGTGTTGAGACAGGGCAAAAGTCCCTACAAGCGCGGCTTTGACGAGGGGGACGTGCATCCCCAGGCCAAGAAGAAGAAAATCGACCTCATTTTCAAGGATGTGCTGGAGGCCTCGTTGGAGTCGGCGAAGGTGGAAGCCCACCAGCTGGCACTGAGCACCTCGCTGGTCATCAGGAAAGTGCCCAAGCACCAGGACGACGCCTACAGTCGGTGTGCTGTGGCCATGGCCCGTGGCGCGCAGAATGCCGGCCGGACCCAGGGGGAAGGGGACTGGAAGATCCCCCAGGGGGTTTCCAGGGAGCCGGGCCCACTGGAGGATGAAGAAGAGGAACCTTCGTCATTCAAGGCTGACAGTCCCGCCGAGGCCTCCCTCGCCTCTGACCCTCATGAACTTCCCACCACCTCCTTTTGCCCTAACTGCATCCGCCTAAAGAAGAAGGTCCGGGAACTGCAGGCAGAGTTAGACATGCTTAAGTCTGGGAAGCTTCCTGAGCCCCCCGTATTGCCACCACAGGTACTGGAGCTCCCAGAGTTCTCAGACCCTGCAGGTAAGTTGGTATGGATGAGATTATTGCCGGAGGGACGAGCTCACGGCGGGCTTTGTGGAGGGTAGCCTAACACTGTAAAAGCCACCTTCGGGGAGACCGGAGGAGTGTGACGTGGAGGCGGCCCCTCTGGGGGTGGGAGCCCGCATCCTCGCTGCCTCTGACAGCCCACCTGCAGCTCTGGCTGGATGCTTCATGTGTCGCCCTTGTATCCTCCTTGTCAATAAAGGAAGTTCCGCTGCAGAAGGGGTGTGTGCTGTGTTCTTGACCCATTGCCTTTCTGTGGTGGTCCTGCTGGTTTCTCAGCCCAAAGCTCAACTCCGAAACCCAATCTTTCTCTCTCCCCAGTCCCAAGCAGGGTGTCCTGCTGGGGAGATCTCACGGCTCCCCAAACTCTGTCTGGGAATGCAGCCCCATTCCTCTCTTCCTGAATCTCTGTTCTGCCACCCGTGGTGCTAGTTCCCCTACCTGGACTTTTAGGACAGAGAGCCCAGGAGTGAGCCCAGGGTCCAGTGTGCTCCCCTGCATGCCTTCGCCCTTTTCTGTTGGCCGCCTGGATCTTTTAGAGTTGGTCAACAACCAGGGAGGTTTTTCAGGCCACATCTGCAGCAGAGTGAGACTGTTTATACAGCACTTCCTCTTTTAACCACATCCCTTAGCTCAGAATGAGATGCTTTAGATATTCAAAGCATGCACCTGAACTAAACTGCATTTTGATCCCGAAATCACTGGAGGCCATACCCAAGCTGCCTTCATTCACCTTAGTGGAGAGCAAACGCACGCAAGTCCTGAAGCTGTAACTTTGAGATGTTCAGTGTGCTGCTCTCCCCACCTGGGCCGCGCCAGGCAGGGAGCATTCGAGTCCCTCGAGCACCCGCACGTGGAGGGCGAGGGCAGGTGGCCTGGCACACGGTGGAGGGGATAGAGGCCACGGTGGACAGTCCACAGAGAGAAAAGGTTTACATGGGAGAACAAGGGTGCTTAGGAATAAATTCTGGGCTGGGATTCGCTCTTTCCTAGGCTTCCATGGACTTCTGTCTCTCACAGTGCAGCACCTGCCTTTCGGGCAGTGTCTCCTGGTCCTTTTGGAAGAATCTGTGTTTTTCCAGCAGGTGTGAATGTTTCTTTCCCATCTGTCTTGCAGCCTCCGAGAGCATGGTCTCCGGCCCCGCCATCATGGAGGACGACGACCCGGAGGTGGATTCGGCAGACGAGTCCGTCTCCAACGACATGATGACTGCAACCGACGAGCCCTCCAAGATGTCGTCCGCCACCGGGCGCCGCATCCGGCGCTTCAAGCAGGAGTGGCTGAAGAAGTTCTGGTTCCTGCGGTACTCCCCCACCCTCAACGAGATGTGGTGCCACGTCTGCCGCCAGTACACGGTGCAGTCCTCGCGCACCTCCGCCTTCATCATCGGCTCCAAGCAGTTCAAGATCCACACCATCAAGCTGCACAGCCAGAGCAACCTGCACAAGAAGTGCCTGCAGCTGTACAAGCTCCGCATGCACCCGGAGAAGACGGAGGAGATGTGCCGCAACATGACCCTGCTCTTCAACACCGCCTACCACCTGGCCCTCGAGGGCAGGCCCTACCTGGACTTCCGGCCGCTCGCCGAGCTGCTGAGGAAGTGCGAGCTCAAAGTGGTGGACCAGTACATGAACGAGGGCGACTGCCAGATCCTCATCCACCACATCGCCCGGGCCCTGCGGGAGGACCTGGTGGAGCGCGTGCGCCAGTCGCCCTGCCTCAGCATCATCCTGGACGGGCAGAGCGACGACCTGCTGGCCGACACGGTGGCCGTCTACGTGCAGTACACCAGCAGCGACGGGCCCCCGGCCACCGAGTTCCTGTCTCTGCAGGAGCTGGGCTTCTCCAGCACAGAGAGCTATCTCCAGGCGCTGGACCGGGCCTTCTCGGCCTTAGGCATCCGCTTGCAGGATGAGAAGCCGACCGTCGGCTTGGGCGTGGACGGGGCCAACGTCACAGCCAGCCTGCGCGCCAGCATGTTCATGACGATCCGCAAGACGCTGCCCTGGCTGCTGTGCCTGCCCTTCATGGTGCACCGGCCGCACCTGGAGATCCTGGACGCCATCAGCGGCAAGGAGCTGCCCTGCCTGGAGGAGCTGGAGAACAACCTGAAGCAGCTGCTCAGCTTCTACCGCTACTCCCCGCGCCTCATGTGCGAGCTGCGCTCCACGGCCGCCACCCTCTGCGAGGAGACCGAGTTCCTGGGGGACATCCGGGCCGTGCGGTGGATCATCGGCGAGCAGAACGTCCTCAATGCCCTCATCAAGGACTACCTGGAGGTGGTGGCCCACCTCAAGGACGTCAGCAGCCAGACCCAGCGGGCGGACGCCTCGGCCATCGCCCTGGCCCTGCTGCAGTTCCTCATGGACTACCAGTCCGTCAAGCTCATCTACTTCCTGCTGGACGTGATCGCCGTGCTCTCACGCCTGGCCTACGTCTTCCAGGGCGAGTACCTGCTGGTGTCCCAGGTGGACGACAAGATCGAGGAGGCCATCCAGGAGGTCAGCCGGCTGGCCGACTCCCCGGGGGAGTACCTGCAGGAGTTCGAGGAGAACTTCCGAGAAAGCTTCAATGGGATTTCGATGAAGAACCTCAGGGTGGCCGAAGCCAAGTTCCAGTCCATCAGGGAGAAGATCTGCCAGAAGACCCAAGTCATCCTGGCTCAGAGGTTCGATTCCCGCAGCCGGATCTTCGTGAAAGCCTGCCAGGTGTTCGACCTGGCCTCCTGGCCCAGGAATAGTGAGGAGCTCATGAGCTATGGCAAGGAGGATATGGTGCAAATATTTGATCACCTGGAGGCCATCCCCACCTTTTCCCGGGACCTCTGCAGGGAAGGGCTGGACCCCCGGGGGAGTCTGTTGATGGAGTGGCGGGAACTCAAGGCTGATTACTACACCAAAAATGGCTTCAAAGACCTGATCGGCCACATTTGCAAGTACAAACAGAGGTTTCCGCTCTTGAACAAGATCATCCAGGTTCTGAAAGTCCTCCCCACTTCCACCGCTTGCTGCGAGAAGGGCCGCAACGCCCTCCAGCGAGTTCGCAAAAACCACCGCTCCCGCCTGACCCTGGAGCAGCTCAGCGACCTGTTGACAATCGCTGTGAACGGACCTCCGATCGCCAACTTTGATGCCAAGCGAGCCCTGGACAGCTGGTTCGAGGAGAAGTCTGGCAACAGTTACGCGCTGTCTGCCGAGGTCCTCAGCAGGGTGTCCGTGCTGGAGCAGAAGCCAGTGCTACAGACCGTGGACCACGGGGCAGAGTTTTACCCCGACATTTAGGGAGCTGGCGCTGCAGAGTTCACTAAGCTGTTGAATATTTTTTTAATCTATACTCATGAGCTTTGATATATTATATAAATATATATTATATTATATTATATATATATATATAAACTCACACTGAAATTTTTTTAAAAACCAAGGTGACGTGTCCACCAGAAGCCACTGGGAGCTTTCAGAAAGGAATAATGTCAGAAACTGACTCTTGTCTACAAAATCCGGCAGCTGCAACATACGTGGCAACTCATTTTCACTCACAGAAGCGTGTGCTGGGGCCACCTGTGTGCCCACCTAACAGTCTACCAAGAGCATAAGCTAAAATGACGGGTCTCTGTCATCACCTTTAGGTAGCTTACTTGTTTATGTTTTCATTTGGGGATTGAGAGGGTTTGGGTTTGGGTTTATGTTCTTGCTTTTTATTTTTTGCGTGTGGTTTTATGATGGGGGGGTCTTGGCCTCCTCGTTGACATTCTGGTCCAGCTGAATCAGATCCCTGATTTCAGATGGGGTGGGGAGGGGCGGTGTATCTGGATTGGGGTGTTTGATCTTTCTCCCCCCCCCGTCCTGACTTCAGCTTGAGAGATTTTTATTCATTTCCTGATGAGGGTTCCTTCACTGTCCTAGAAACAAAAGTGTCGGTCAAACTGTGACACCACCATTCCTCACCTCTGTTGCTTTTCTCCCTGTCTGGGGTTGTGGATTCTCCCCGTCCAGGCCCTGGATACTCTAGATATCACCTGTTAGACTGAAGATGGCATTGCCTTACAGCCGTGCTTGAAATCCTGGGGAAGGGAGAAGGTGTGAGCTTCTTGCATTCCTGTTTTCTTATGTGGTGGAAGATAAAACAATATAATTCCATTCAGATCCAGGGCTGCTGGGGAGACAAGAGGCCAAGAAGTTCAGACCCCAATAGGGCAGTGACTTTTGGCTAAAAACAAGTAAAATGAAAAGTATATATTCAATTTACATGAATTATTTATACTTTGTCTTTATAATCATATCACGTGTTAGTGGGTTTTGTTTTTTTCTTTAATAATTGAGAAATGCCTGCTATAGTTCAGTGGCAGGGGATGTCAATGCAAGTGTGCAAATGAGAGTCTCTAGAGATGTGGCCCAGGCTGGTGACAAGCCCCGCAGCCTGGCAGGAAGGCCGTGGGAAACTAGGGAATGTGTCTATGCCTGTGAACTCTTCCTTTTTTGAACAGGGTAGAGATGTCCTAAGGAAAAGGAAAAAACAGGAAGTAATACAGGACTCTCAAGGCATCAGCCTACACACACACACACACACACACACACACACACACACACACAAAACCACGTATAAGCTTTAGAAATAGCCACTTGCCTACTCCCTGGGGCAAGCAGCGGTTTAAGCTAGAGGAGTCTGATCAATGCTCTTTCGTTCATTTAACTACAGTATACCTCGCAGGGGAGTTTTAAAAAATGTGCGTGAGCTGTTAAAAACTTCTGTTCATGTTTCTACATCTGATTTATGCATATTTTATGTGCAGAGATCCTATCGCGTGGATGCAGGTCATGTCTGGGGAGGGAGGAAGATCTGGATTAGGTGCGTGCGGTCAGTTCTGCTGAGCGCGGCCCCTCTCGGTTAGCAGAGCGGGGTGCCATCTGGCCACAGGCAAGGCCCCATGTCCTCAACCTGCATGGCTCAGACATTGTAAAACTGTGGTGGCTTCCTTCCTTCTTGGTTTATCTTATCTCCGAGGCCTCATGCCACCGTTGAGAACCATAGTGGAACTGTCATCAACACTGAACATGTTATTGCCCCTTCCTGGTCCTGCAATCCCTTTATCCCCTCCAGTCCCTTCCCTCTCACCCCCATGGTCTTGGTGCTAAGATAACTTTAGAATCATTGCTGCTAGTCAATAGCTTTTCATTATATAAATATATTATATATATTATATATTATTTTTGAAACGTTTTTGTTTGTTTTCAACAGTGATGTAGCATGTTTTAAAAAAACAAACAAACAAAAAAACTGGGTTCCTCCAACTGTCCCACTGCCAGGCCTCATATGCTGCCTTCTTCAGCGAATCAATGCACCCCTGTCTGGTGACATTCGCCCCACCCCCGGCCCGCCCTGACCCGAGTTGCACACACACTTCCCCACCCTCCGCTGAGCGAGAAGAGAGTTCGCAGGAATTAGCAAGGAAAGACCAAAAGCCCCTTTCTGATGCTTTGGACACCCCCAGCCCTGCTCCACTTCCGTACTTGAAGCCGATGTCTCCCCCAGCTGCCCCCCATCTGGGTCGAAGCCTAACTGTGGTCAAGTGGGGTGCTGTCGCAAAGCACAAGGTCCCACCCTGCCCGGCGCCAGCCTCGGGTCTTCTCTCGCGCACACAAACTGCCGTGGCTGGGGTTTCACTGAGCATCGCAGAGACTGAGCCGGGCCCAGGGCAGAGTGCGCCTTGGTGAGGGGCAGAAACAGCAGCTTGGGATCCTTTCTTCTAGCCAACAGTTGCCTTACACCTTTTCCTTCTCTCTCTGCTCCTCCCTACCCATGACACTGGGACTCTCTACCAAGCGGGGCCGTCCCCCAGACCACTCATTTGAAAACCAGGCAGAGAGAGTCAGTGTCTGCCTGAGCACCTCGTCAGGGCTGCGACTGTTTCCTCTCGAGAGATCTTGGCCAAAATTAGCTCAGATCTTCAGCTAGGGGGCACACAGTGCTCCGGGTGAGTGCCAGCTCCTATTCACCTACTCTATCTCCTGAGAAGGCTGGGAGCAGGTGACTTGCCTCTGGGCCTAGCAGAATGAGCTGCTACTAGTAGCACATGGCCACCTCCTGAGGCAGCCTCCAGACCTAGGAGAAGCTAAGTTTGCAGGCGGTCTTGAAGGTCAGCAGGGTACCTCTAAAACTCTGGGTGCTCATGGCTTCTGCTGCATTCGGCTATGCCAGGGCTGTGGCTCACACTCTGTAGGCCACTTTGCCTTGGGACAGGGAGTAACCAGGGAACAATCTGGGTAACACACCACTGCAATTTACACAGGGTCTCTTCTCAGACTGCATGCTCCCCGGGAGGCTCAGTGCTCCTATCCTGTGATTTCTGTGAGTGATTACCGTGATTTCTGCCGTAGGCGTTTCAGGCTGATGGGACACTCGGGGTCTAGTGCAGAGAACCGTACGCTTGACTCGCCTCATATCCCCTTGATGAGCATAAAGATCTGTGGACAGGCGGTCCGTGCGTCCCAGATGACAGAGCCATTTAACTCAGCCCCTGGCTTAGGAGTGACAACCATAGGCTTAGAATGAAATGGGTGTCCCAGGCTGAGACTTGTCGTCATTGGGCTAGCTGATTAATGACTCTCTTTGGCTCATGGAGATGGTTGGAAGTGAGATCAACTCTGAGGCCCAGGTTTGGGGCCAACTGTGCCAAGCATATACATGGCAGAGCCGGGGAGCCAGGATTAAAAAGCCCTTAGGATTAAAAAATACCTGCTCTTCCTTCATGGAGGAAAGAGCAAAAGAGGCACTGCCACCTAGTATCTGTGAAAAATGAGGACAGCCCAGACCTGTCCGCAACTCTTGCCGTGTTATAGTCCCCATGTTTTGCCTGCCTGGTTGAACACAAGAGTCCAGGCATCATTTTTGTTTAAATGGCTACCCGCGACATCCTCACTTCCACGTCCTCACTTGGGAATGAAACAGGCTCAAGCTCCTGGGTGGTGGGGTTCAGTGCTGGGCACTTGGGGGTCTCTGACCTCAGCCCCTGCCACATGTCCCCAAGTTGAGTTGTTTTTCTGAGCCCCCTTCCCTTGACTTGCTTCTTCTGCCAAGCCTCTAATTTGGAGAAAGGACCTTGCAATTACTTAAGATAATGCTTGAATACTTTCCATTTGTTTGGAGGTGGTGCCAAGAGGGAGAAAACATGGGAAAGTACGCAGAAGGCTGCAAAGGACAGCAGAGAGCCTGCTGTGGACTACAGCCTTGGCACAGCCCGGGCTGAAGGGCTGGTGCCACGTGAACTGCCCCCCTGGAGCCCAGTGGGGGCCAGGAGGAGGCCCGAGGGGTTGAAATATAACTTCTCTTTTTCTATCACCCCTTTCATTTTTTTCTCCTGCCCCCTCTAGGAACAGGAGTTCTGAATCGAGATCTGCTTTAGGCTTATGGTCTAGGATGATTTCCAAGTAGAATTCTTGCTTTTTCTTGGTCCATGCACCCAATTTTGGCAGAATGCACCAAACTCATACCCTCTCATCCCTTCACGAGGCAGATCTAGCCAGGCCAGGCTGGAACAGCTGGAGCAGGCAGGCCAGGCCTCCTTAGACAAGAAAGGATTTTTTAGAGGGCAGTCGAGCTTGGAACACCCATTCCAGACAGCAGTCTCCTAGGGGAGGTGGTGCCCTGTCGTGCGGGTTCTCATCCAGCCTTCTGCTTGGGGGAGGCCCTTCTCTTGCTGTCTGTTGATCAGGATGCTTTCGTTGCGTGGAGGGTACTATGATATTTTAAGGAGCCTCTGAGGCAATCTTTGCATGTTAGCCAGAGGGAGAAAAAGTGTCCTTTTGGGAGGAAAATGGTACGGCCCTCCTCTTCCATCTGGCACTCCCTTCCCCCAACCCCGCCAGTGTATCGCCCCGGAAATACCTATGCAATCCAGTCTCCCTAGGAGAGAGTGCATGGAAGCAGGGGCATGTGCAGTGTACAATACACATGCTACAGCATTTATGTTGTATATATGGACATATACAGTACGTATACACACAGAGTAAGAGAGTAAATCACGTCTATATATCTATAAATAATATCCTATATATTTATACATTTCTATGTTCTAAATAGATATAAAATAGAGTTTATAGAGCTGGGAGAGCAGCAGGGAGGCCGGCGCTGTGCTGTGGGCAGGGGAGGAGGCAGGGCTTTTGCAGGGGAGACGGGAAGCTCCTGTCTCCACAGGGTTTGCCGGCCAGGGGGCCTCCTACCCGAGTGCTGGAGAGCAGAGTCGCTGGGTCCCTGCCCTGTCCGTGCACTGTGTCTCCTTCTCCGCAGGCTTGGGCTGAGGTTGGAAGGAGATACCCGCTGAGCTGCAAAAGTGGCCCTTCCGTCCCTCCCACCCGCCTCTGCCAGCCTCCGCTTAGGTGGTCACTGCTGCTTGGCAGCGACCCCTGGCGGAGGGGCCACTGCACACACTCCCCCAACACCCTCACCCACCAGAAACGAGCAGCAGCATCGGTGGCACTAGGAAAGGGGCAGATTGGATCAGGTGCGGTCCAGGAAAGATGCCGCCTTCACTACCACCACCCGGCACTTCTGCTGCCCCCTACAGGCCGAGCCTCTGAAGTGCAGCCGCGCGGGCCTCCCTAGCCGCTCTGCCCGTCTGCGGGCCGGGCCTGGGATGGGCAGCGCGGCCCACCACCCAGGGGCTTTCTGGCCGGACAGGGGGCATCGGCTAACAGGGGAGGGTGGCAGAGACACATCCGCACACTCACACGTTCAATGGCAACTCGCGTTCAGAAGCAGGGCCTCGGCCCAGCGCACTCCGCGCAGCCTGCCGGCTGTACTCAGGACAACGCCGCTCCCCTCCTCCCGCGCCCAGGCCCTGCCCCTCTCCCACCTCCGTGGAACAGGCAGGTTTAGTTCACATACACTGTTCGCATTCTGTGACTCGAGGCAGCGGCTGAGCCGGGACGCCCCAAGCGCACCCGCGTCTGTTGGGTGGGGGCCTTCTTCACCATGTCCCCAGCTGCCACCCCAAGCCAGGCGGGCGTCTGGGGGCCCGAGGGGACAGGGGTGCAGCTGGCAGCACGACGGAGGGCTTGTGCAGCCCTGACCTGAGGCAGAAGCCCATTTGCTTCCAGTTTTTTCTCCATGGTTCTTTTCCTCCCAGAGGTAGGAGAGAGGTTCTGCAGGCGGTAGCCGATGGAGCCAGGGGCGGCTGCACCTCTGCTCTCCAGACCAGCCTCCCACCCGCGGCTCTGCAGAGGCACTTATTTCCAGCCCCTGCCTCCTCCACCCCTGCCCGCTCTTCCCCACCATCCTACAACGTACCTCAGTCTCCAGCAGACCCGCCCTGCACCTGCAGTCCAGGGCGGGGCTGCTCTGCCAATGCCCACCTCCTTGAGCCACAGCTAGCTGCCAATCGGGTCTGGGACACCCTCCAGTGCCTGGCTCGTGCGAGACCAGGCCCGGCCGAGCCTTCCTCCCACTGCAGTGGACCAGACCCACGGCCAGGGGATGGGCATCCCCAGGTAGCAATCCCACAATGCACTGTACCTCAGAGAGAGCGTGCCAGGGGCACCAAGGGACCGGGCCCTCCGTCCAGAGGGGGACAGCCGGTTACGACACTGCTCACCAAAAGACAAAGGCCAGGCTGCCCTCGGGCACCCCTCAGTCTTCACTTGTGTCTCTCCGGAAGAACCAGCAGTCTGATTCCGTCTTTTCAGCCCCTGTCTCTCTCCTCTCCACCCCCCACGCTGCTGAACCAATTTCATTTCAATCACAAAGGAAAAATAAAGTGGGGGTGGGGGAAATACCTAGGAGTCTGTTATCACATACATATTGATATGTTAATACTTTCTTTCTTAAAAAAGAAAACCTCTTGATGTTATTATTTTGCAGACTACGCTTTATAGTACCTGTGTGACGGGACCTAGAACACTGGATACAAATAGAGCTATGTTGGTTTATCATAATATGTACGCAGAAACTTTCCTTTTGTCATATTATCCTTGTAATGTAAGAAGATTGTTAATAAAAGCATTTAAATTTGCTCACCACGCTCAAATCGCTGCCTCCTTGCCTCTGTCCCGGGCCTGTGCTCTGGGTGACTCCAAGTGGACCCCACGGCAAGGGCTCAGGTGTCAGGATAGGAGCCCGCCAGCTGCCAGGTTGGAAGGAACTAGAAGAGGCCTCTCTAGCCCCTTCCTGCTGCTCTCAATTTCCCCCCATTCCAGTCTACTCCCAGCAAGTAACCTACGTGGCTCGCCCACCAGGCAGGCCAAAAGAGGTGTGACTGAACCCGTTTAAAATAAATCTGTCTGCGCCCATATGCATCCATCCCACAGGGCTCTCTGGGAGGAGGCACAGAGCGCTGCTGCAGACAGGCTGCCTGGCGTGACTCTCCACGTGCAGGCCTGGTCCCTGCAGAAGGGTCTTCCTCAGTCGTTTGCCAGCGGTGCTGGTATCGGGGTAGTAAGTGATGTTTTGCCCACGTTGTTTTGCAAAGAAGATGAGCGTAAATTCAATGAAGACATAGATGATGTGGTTTTGGTTTTTCCTCCTGAGACCCTTGGTTCTCCTGCTCACAGCCTCCCATCCCACCCATCTCAGCCACCCCCCCTGACCCCTACTCTTAACCTCTGCCTTCTTAGTGTCTGCCATTCTCCTCTCGGCCCCTCAAGACACCCCCCCCAATGCCACCACTTATAGGTCTCATGTTGTGAAAGCCACACCACAGTCCCCACGGAATGTTCTAGTTCTCTTTTTCCCAGAGGAGGAGTAGGGAGGAAGGAGCAAAGGGGCATAGCTGTCCACGCCTAGTCAGCCCGGTGACCCAGGCTCAGCCCTGCCCCCGTGCTGGCTGCTCGGATTTGGCTCACCTTTGCAGCAGAGTCTGGAACACGTGAGTGATTCCACCACCAGGAAGCGAGGGAAGGCAAGACGCCCCCTGACCCCGCCCTGCCGTCTGCACTTGGCCGTGAGGTTGGTCCCCCCAAAGTGGGGGTTGGAGGGTGAGGTAAGGGGGTGAGGTCTGTTCCGCTCCCTTCCCTCCCTCTTCTCCCCAGCTTCTCCCATTCTGCCCTCTCCAAGGTTCAAGGACAAGGTGAGTTCACCCCAGAGAGAAGACTCAGGAGACTGGCTCACCTGCCTGATGATCGGAAGGTCTGCCTCCTGACAATTTCCAGAATGATCTTTCTAAAACAAAGATCCAGTCGAGGCATCCTCTCTGCCCACCCCTCTCCAGTGGTTTCCCGTTGCCCTTGGGATGCAATCCAGACCCCTAGCCATGACCCAGGGGCCTGCCTGCCTCCCGGCGTCATCTTGTCCTCCCCTGCGTCGTGCTCCAGCCGCACTGCCTTTAATTCCTTAAGCTTTTCTACCTCGGATCCCTCGACACCCTGAGCCCTCTGCTGGGATAGCCTTCCCCAGGGTGGTCACATGGCTGGGTTTCTTCTCTTTTAGGCCTCGGCTAAAAGGCCACCTTCTTGGAGGGGCCTCTGCTGACCGCTCGCTCTAAAAGGCGCTGTTCTTTATTGCTCCTGGTGTTTTCCTCCATAACACCCATCTCGGTCTGCAACTGTGTGATCACTGTGTGTGTGTGTGGGGGGTTATATCTGTCTCCCCCAATCCCGATCGTAATGCCCACAAGGGAAAAGTCACAGAGTGGGCATTTCGTCAATGTGTATGGAGGGGATGAACGAATGTAAGCAGCTCCTGACAAAAGGACAATTCCAGCAATGCGGCATTGACCAGAGCTGAAGTCCTGGGTTCTTCCTCATTGCCAGTCTTTGTCTCAGTTTCCTCACTTGGTCAGAATGACCCCGCAGCTGACCTCTCGCTGCCTCTGGCCTTGACCCAGGCTCTACTCCACAAAGCCAGAGGCTGTTCCCATGGTATTTACTTGAGTTCCCTCCACCCCAACTTGCTCTTGCCCCATGGACAATGTCCCAGCCAGTCCAGTTGGGTGTCTCCTAATTCTCCTATGGAAGAGAACATTTCCTGCTCCTTCTAGCTTAGTGATTCTCAGAGTCCATGGCTCCAGGTAGCATTCTGAAGCTATTGCCAATGCATCTAAGTGACCTTTCAATAAAGACCCTCGGCCACTGGTTGTACCCTAAAGTCTGGACTTTAGGGTTAGACAGTACCAGATTCAAATCCTCCTCTGCCTCTTACAAGCTGTGAGACCTTGGAAAAGTCACTTGTCCTAGTCTATTCTTCAGTGATTAGCACAGAGCAGTAGTTTACTATGTGCCAATTATTTATCATCATCATCATTATGGTGACCTCTTAGATCAGGATGAAGTAGGTGCTAGGAAGTATGGGGTTCCTTGCTGCTGCCATCCTCTTTCACCCAGAATTCTTGGGGCTACCCTGGGTAAGGGATTGCTTGTGACTTTTAACACAGAGCCACCTACACCTACACCTTCAGCTGGCATAAACACCTCTGCCTAAATGGGGATCCCTGTTCCCTTCTTGGAGAGATCCTTGAGGCATCTTCTTTTGCTTCCAACAGCTCATCTCACCTGGTCTTTAAGGGGAGAGGAATTGTAGAGCAGTTCTGTTTGTTTGGGCTGGAAAAGTAGGTTTCTCCTTGCTTGTCCCTGGTTGAAATGCCTGGGTTTCTGAAACAGGATTTCTGCCACCGCTCACTTGCCAACAGGCAGTCCTGAAACACCAAGGAAGAGTGCTGGGAACCTGGGATGGGAAACTTGCCCCGGCACGGGCTGCACCGACAATAGACCAAACGTGGCTGGGGATGAGCCCCCACAGGGCCCTGATCACACAGCAGCCACCACTAGGCCAGTTTCCATGGCAACGTCTGGCTTCCAGAGATCGAGGTGCCTACCTGGGAGGCAATCTGGCTTTTTCCCTTCCTCCCCACCAGGTAGGCACCTCCATCTCTGGCTCGGGGAAGCTGCTGAGGTCCCCGCCAAGGACCATCTGTGCTGGCTCACCTGCAGGAGACCAAGGAGGAGAGTGTGGGGGCAGTTTTCCAACATGTGCACTGAGAAAATGCCCAACCTCCAAAATCCATCCACAGCCACATCCCATGGCTTCATCCTTGCCAGGCGTCTGCCCCGGGAGGGAGACAGAACAGATGCCAGAGTTCAGAGCTCCTGAAATGGTGGCGCTTCCAACTGGCTCTAAAAAAAATAGAAACTCTTGGATGGAAAATTACCACCGGCCCTGTTAGCAATGGAGCAAATGCAAAAGGGCTGACTCAGAGCCTCAGGTGCCATTGCACATTGTCTAGAGAAGGAGGTGACTGTCAGGAGGGACTGTCACAGGGCATCGCCAGGTGTGCGGCAGGGAGGCCAGGTGCACATGTATGTGAGTTTCATTTGTTTTATGCACATGAGATAGGAGGCTAAAGATATGTGCAAAAAAAGGAAGCCATTGCCAGTCGAGATCACAGAATCACACAGTGTTAAAGCTGGAAGCTGCCTTCATGGTCATCTGGCACAGATCCACTTTATAGATGTGGAAACCAGGCCCAGAGGCAAGTGACTTGCACAGGGCCATGGAGGTGGCCGGTGACACAGCCGAGCTGGCTGCGTGTTCCCAGCTCCTCATGCAGCACTCCTGATCTGAGTCAGCGTCACACGCAGGAGCAGGGTTGCTTATTTGAAGCAGTTAAATGGAAAGCCACTGTATACAGTGATTAATGAACTTCTTCCCTCTTCCATTTCTGTTTTATATAAATCTAGACTCTTTTCCATTTCAAAATATTAAGGGGGTACAAATATTTTGGGGTACATGGGTTGCTTTTATAATGCTTGAGTCACAGCTATGGATGTACCCATCACCCAAATAGTGTGCAATGTGCCCATTAGGTAGGCTTTATCTCTCCCCCTCCTCTCCCCTCCCCCTGCTTGATTTGCACCGAGTTTTACTGTGCTCATCAGTTAGTTCCAATTTAATAATGAGTACATGTGGATCTAGACTCTTAAATATTAGTTTTGGGCCCAGATAGGCAATATTGATAGTCACCTGTGAAACAGAGTCTGCATGATATTTGGCTCTGCAGGATAAAACCCACAGATCCTATTTTATCATGAAAATTAAAATCCTGGGTGCCATTAAAATACATGTATGTATATAATATACACGTATGTATATGTATATACTTACATGTGAACTTAGAAAGTGAAGCTATCTCATAGCTTTCATTATAGATCATTTATCCTATTTAAGAACCTTCAGTTTTAATTCTGTGTGACCCAGCTGATGTCCTACTGACGTTAAAATTCAGACCCTGCCCCATGCTCAATGCCCAGCCCTCTTCCTCCAGACACCAGGGCTGTAGTGGCCACCAGGAAGGCCTGGGTGACAGGACTCCAGGATTACCTTTGTCCCTGCCCACCGTCTGGAGTTCAGAAGTACCACTGGCTGCTGCATTGACCCTTCTGTTATGGAAGTGTTTCTTTTGGAGATATTAAATAAAGAGGGGTCACTAGTTTCCACTTAATTTTTTTTCTCATGAATAAAGTCAAAGGCCTGAGAAGCTTTAGCCAACCCTTGTTTTCCCTAATCATATGAAACCTCTTTGATTCAGTACTTGACAAGGCCACCAAGGTCCATGTGTGGGTATGCACACACACACACACACACAGTGTCACATAGAGTTCTCTGTCACCTAGCAATTCCACTCACTCCTAGGTGTATGTCTTAAAGGAACTTTCACAAGTGCATAAGGAGACGTGCACAGGAATGTCCATAGCAGCATTACCGGTAACAGGAAAGAAAGAAAAAAGAAAGGAAGGAAGGAAAGGAAGGAAGGAAGGAAGGAAGGAAGGAAGGAAGGAAGGAAGGAAGGAAGGAAGGGAGAAAGAAAGAAAGAAAGAAAGAAAGAAGAAAATAAAGAAAAAGAGAGAGAAACAAAAGGAAGGAAGGAAGAAAGGAAATGAAAGCAAAAGAATGCAAGAAAGAAAGAAAAAGAAAACGAAGGAAAGGAAACATGTAAATGTATATCAACACAAGAATGGGGTTGTGGTATTATTATATCCATACAATAGAATATTATATATCAGCAAAAAAAGAAATGAATTATAGCTATATACATCTGCATGGATGAACCTGAAAATTTTAATGTTGAACAAAAGTAGTGTGATATAATTTAAATAAGCTTTATAAACACACAAAAATGCGCTATGGAGCTCAGGGTTTACATAGACATGTAGTAAAGGTATAAAGGAATGCTTGGGATGATAAACCCCAAGTTCAGGGTTATGGTCTCCTGAGGAAAAGGCACTGAGGGGACTTCAACTTATAGTTGTCAAGTTTTACTAAACTTGGGAGTGATTCATGAGCACTTAGCAGATGATTTTTTTTTGCATTTTATATTCTAAAACATTAAGTAAAAAAAAAAAACAAAAGAAAACACCAGGCAGCTGACCCTGTTGGAAATTATTTATTTACCACTGCAAGGTTTTTGCTCCAAAGTATGACACCAGACATATGACTACAACGTCTCATGCATCTTTTTGTGCTTCAGTTCATGACTGCAAAACACACATTTAGCATTTGACAACAGGAAACACAGAAGGCAGAAACGAATCACAAGGACTAGTTGGTTTAGGCTACAGCCACCTTTCCCCCAGGACTCCTTTACATCCCAGAGGAATGGACTCTGAAGAATTGCTCTCCTGCCTTGCTTTCTCTGCCCAGCTGTGTTTGGGTGACTTGTCATTCAACCCACAGGGAAAGTCATATCTCAAATCAAAATGGACAGACACGTGCAAGGTCTCGATTAATAAGCACTCAACAAATAGATATTGATTTGATGTAAGAAATAGAGTCACAGATTAAGGAAGGTGAACTCCTAATTCTCTATCCCCATAGACATATCTAATAAAAGAACCTGACCACCTTTTGGGCCACAGCCCTATCTGAAACAATCTCTCACTTCATTTTCCCCTCTGCTTCACACCCTTCTTAGAAAATGACCCCTGGTATAGTACAAGGTGTTCTTTCAAAAAAGGATCGGATGCATTCACATAGGCTCAATTATTCTAATTAAATAGTAAATTGCAAATGTACCGGGTACAAGGTAAGCTGATGCAAAGATTACTAAAGTTTTTTGACTTGGCAGTCTGACATCTCTGGGCAATTTAAAATTCACTAAGATGGAGTTTTGGTGGAAAAGCACAGCACTCACAGTCTCTTCTTTTGTTAATTACATTTACATTGGGAGCTGTGAGTTGTCATTAGGCAAATAGTAATGCTCAATGTTATGAATTTCGAGGCCAACTGCTAAGATGTCTCATGCCTTTACCACTGAGAACTCAGCTAGGATTCTAATTTTTATGCCATTTGCAGTGTCTTTTTCTGCATACTCCTCTGCCCCCCTATCCATCCTTCATTCATTCATTCAACAAATATTTATGGAGCACCCATGAGACAGCTGTATCCTAGGCACTTAGAATATACTAGTGGACATAACAGACAAGCCCCTTCAAAAACTATCTCATGTCTGTGCCTCCCTGCCAAGCGTGGTGATGGCCGACACCTAAGACACCCTGGGGTGGAGTATGACTCTCATCGGGGCAACCTTTAGTTTAGATTCTGGGAGACTAAAACGTTAAGATCCAAAACCCTGAAGGCTGCATGATGGAAAGACTGTGGGAGGAGTTGATATTTGGGGATCAAGGGCCCTGCCCAGACCACCTCATGCCTTTGGCAGGACTATACACTGGTGCACAGATTTATAAGAAAATATTAATAGGACCCATGTCTCCTGATTTTTAGTCTAGAATCCAAACTTTTCTAGATTGGAGTAACAGATGTTACCAAGAAGAGAATGCTGGTTAGCTTTCAGCTTATGTAAGGAACATTTAGTTCTCTTTTAGCCATGCTAACCAGAAAGAAGAGAGCAGTGTGACAAGGAGATCTCAACAACATGTTATAGGAACCGCTAACAAATGCTTTGCCTAAACAACACTTGGCAGGGGCCAGTCAACCTTCATGATCAAGGTTCCAATTATCTTCCCATTAAAGAGGGATTAGATATTTTTCCTGGTTCTTCAGAGGATGGGTAGAAAAGACTTCTAATGCTTTTGTTTCTGCACAGAAAGAAAAAAGAATGACCCAAGGTTCTAAGGCCCCTGATCATATTCTTAGGGGGAGGCCAAGTATGACTTGCCTTGTTGAAGGAAAGAAGCCCTTACCCATCTCGTCTAGGAATTCTGTCTAGATCAGGGGACCAGGGTGACAGCTGAGGGCCCAGAATTTGGATGTTCATATAGAGGAGCCCAAATGCAGAATCCATGGTTCTGAAAATGCCTGGGATGGTTCTGGCACTTTCTGGACATTCTTGGCTGCCAACTTCAAGTAGAAATAGTAACCTAGCTTCAACAGGATCTGCCGGTGGCCTCAGAGTTTGCTTTTAGCCAGGGAGTGCCGACAGCTTTTGGACACTATTTCATTTAGATGCAATCAACTAAGTTAATAACTAAATTCCTCCCGAAGTGACTGGAATGCGGAGAGGGGACGGGTCTCTCTGAGAGGGTCACTTTGGTGATGCTGGCAGGTGTGACAGCTTGCACTCAGAGTCCAGCCAGTGACTAGCAGGGGGTCCCACCTACACCCTGTCAGGCAAGGTCTCTGCAAGGATAATATAAACAGACTTTAAGATTAAAAAAAAGTTCTTCAATAAAAAGCACAAAATTCAGTCTAAGAACAGGATCTGAAAAGCACAAAGTAAAATATTAAGAATTAAAAGAATTAAATAAAAAATGGAGGCCCCATTTCACACTGACGGCTGAGCTATCCGGCACTGGGAACGGCTGCCCCATGTGCTGGGACCCCATCAAGGACTGAGGTTGAAAACCTGTCTGGAATGTTGTGGAAGGAATCCTCCAAGTGCAGCGCTCCAACCCCTCCATCAGACCCACCCGGTGCTCGTTAAAAATGAAGGCTCCTGGGCTTCGACCCCAGAGACTGACTTGGAATCCTCCGGGGGGGAGAAGGGGGCAGGAATCTGCTGGTGACTCTTCACACACCGAAGTTGGAGAGCCCCTGGGTGACCACCCCACACGGGGAGCTCGCCTTGACATTGGGTACAGTTCCATCCCACCCCGACCATCTCTAATTCTAGCAGTTAACCCAGGATACTTTTATTTCTGTCATCATTTTTGAAAAGCTTGTTTTTGAAAAAAGCCCATTTCTTCTTCTTTGCATCCATTATTCCCCCAGTAAAGCTTTCTCTGCCTCTGGCCTAACCCCACCTGTAAAATGGACACACAAGTTGCGTTTGGTAAGTGTCTCCCTCGACAGCACAGGTGAGCAAAATGCATTCCTTGGTGTGACCCGAATGTCCACACACCGCCCTGCCCTGCCTTGCTTATTTCTTAGAAATGGGAGTGTGATGACAGGAACCGGGTCCTGGCCTTTGCAAACACGTGTCTCTGTCGTCTGGGTGTCCGAATGAGGATAGGGCACAAAGAGCAGGTTGCAGAGGGCGGCCGGGCTGCCCGAGAGGGGAGGCGCCGCGCGCTGGCTACATGTGCAGCTGGTGCCACATGGCGATCTGCCGGCGCGGGTTCTTGAGCATCTCCTCCCAGTGGCTGCGCTCGGAGCCCGAGGTGTGCAGGCCCAGGCTGCAGCGGCCGAGCGCACAGCCCTGCCCCGCCTCGTCCTGGCCCAGCACCTCCAGCTCCACGCTGGACGCCCGCAGCAGGTCGTCGGGCAGCTCGAACATGATCATCTCGTTCCACACGGGGTTGATCTTGTGCTTGGCCCGTTTCGTCTGCTTCTTCTTCAGCTTCTGAGCCTGGTGCTTCAAGGTCACCTTGACAGAGACATCTGGGCAGGGACAGAGGGGGAAAAACAGAGAGAAGAGCAGAGAGTGAGCTTCTGGGGTCTGGCGGGCTGGGATGATGCGCCCCCCTGGGGCTGGAAAGACAAATGTCTCTGGCTCAAGATTCGCACTGAGGATCGCTCTCGGCTCCCCAACCGGGCCACTCATTCATTCATTCATTCGACAGCTATGACCCTATGGCGGGAACTGTTCTAGACACAGAGACACAGCAAAAGTTCCTGCCTCTATAGAACTTACACCAAAGTGTGGGAAACAGACAATCCCATAACATATAAGGCTGGGACATGTTCGAGTGCCACCAGGGAACCACAGTTTGCCACGAGCCCTTCCACATGACTTCTTATCCCCACATGAATCCAGGTCCAGGGCAATAACTCAGGGGTCCTGCAGATGGATTTTGCACTCAGACCAGAAAAACGATGCCAGCTCAAGTCTTCGTCCCCTCAATTCTCGTCCCCTCAATTGTCAGCCCAAGCATTTTTGTCTCTTACGAAAGCAACAGGTCCCCTGCTGGGTGAGTTCTTCTCCTCTGCTCTCTTGTAAGTTTTACTCGAGGCCCCGGACATCGCATGTGGGAGGGACAAAGGCAGACTCCCTGTCCCTTCACCCCCTCCCCGGGCCACTGCACCCGTAGAGCTGTCTCCCAGGGAATCTGCAAACGAGTCACCAGAGGAGCTTTCATGTCACATCACAAGGCTCAGCCCCGATTACTTTTCCATTAGTCAAGGTTCCTGAAGCTAATGTGAGAATAATTGTTACTTTGCATTTATTGCTATAATTATCACCCCCTGGGGGTTAGTTTGTTATTTCAGCAGAGATATTTGAGAGACAAAGTGTTGTGCTGTAATTGTCCTGACAGAAGCTATAAAAAAAAAAAAGAGCAAGAGGCAGAGGAGTGTCTGGAGGGGACAAAGAAAAGCACAGAACTCTGACTTTTGGCCCAGGAGTCTGCCGGCAAGACCAACTCTTCTGATTTCATTAGCCCCAAATCTTTTGCTCAGAGAGTCTGAATGAGGTGGCAATTCTTTATTTGTGCCCTGCTATAAATAGAGATGTATTTATATCCTGCCGTGAGCACTTGGCTGCCAGCGCAGGTACGGTCTGCTAGCCGAGGCTGCCTCCTGCTCTGCTAGGAGAGCCTGCTTTGGTCCCCAAGGCCGGGGACTTGCCTGGGGTATCCAGAAGGAGAAAAGGAGGCCTCCAGGATGTTGAAGAGATGCTTATTTGGGTATATGGGGCACAGATGCCCCAAGCCTCAGGCCTCAGCCCACATACCCACACACCTTCTGCCGTCACCCACATGCAGCTGGTACGGGGGCGGCACTTGGCAAAGGCTGAGAAGAGAGAAGACAGTGCTGGGTGCGGGGAGTGCAGTGGTGGCTGAGATGGGAGAAGAACAACCTGGGCTTCCTGACACCTGCCCCAAAGGTGGGTCCAGCCAGGTGTTCCCGTCAGCCCAGGAAGAACACTCCATATTACAGTCCGACCCTCAGCTTCCTGGTCAGACTGGCCTTCCACGGTCAAGGCCAATTGTGCTCACAGTGGATGTCCAAGGTAGGGAACCCCAGGTAGCTCGTGTCTGGATCCTGGTGAGCAGACTGGCCCAGGAGTGAATGCATATGAGCTCAAGGAAGTGAGCGTGTCCTTCAGAATTGGTTTGTGAGCTTAGGGTGGAGGACACAGCTGTGGAAGACCCCATAAATGTGCTCATGTTCCACCTCCCTACTCAGCTGTCCCCATACTCCCAGGTGCCACGTCCCTCTGCACACAGTCCCCGGCTCTCTCCTCTCACGCCTCACTCACCCTTCCCCAGCAGCTCCTTGGACTGGTTGGCGTGGAGGTTCTTGGCTTTAATCAGCACCACCAGGAGGCGGTTGGCTGCCGGGAGGTAGCTGATGGAGAGAAGGACCTCTCCAGTTCCCGTAGACGGCTCCTGAAACAGAAGAGGGGCGCAGGGGGAGAGTGTCACTTGGGGGTGGCTTCTGAACCACCGACTAATGCTGAGGCTGGGGTCGCACCGGGCTTGTATCTAACAGGCGTCCTACAGCCCACGTCCCTGCCAAAGCCGGCTTCTCCACCCCTGCAGAAGGGAGTAAGGCACAGAGGAATGATGGGTGCATGTGCTTCGTTTTCCACAAAATGTGATTTTGCGCATATTATTTATTCAAACCCAATGTATAAAACAGAGCAAAGAGATGCCACTCAGGATGTGTCAGGGATAGAAGGCCAGGAGTCCCCTTCACACTTCGCTGCCACCCCCAAGCTCCTGGGGAACCTCTGAAACTCCAGAGAGTTTCAGAAAACACAGTTTGAGAATCACAGCACTGCCCCATCAGGTTCCTGGGGCAGTGGGAAGTGGTAATTCCTTACTTCATTGGAAAAGATAATTCCTTCCAGCCCCTGCAGGCTGAAAGAGTCAATAAAGTGGAATGATAACGTGAGCAGAAGCTTGCTTCCCCAATGGAGTGGCCATGGTTGTGGTAGAGGCGACTGTAACCACCCTCAGAGAGAGGCACTGATGCCTCTGTGAGCATCCAAACACACCCATCCCCCCACCCCCACCCCCGTATGCGACTTCAGGGTATCTCCTCTGAAATTCCTGCAAGAGTTTGCTTGCAATTCCAACAAATCCATTAAGGGACAAAAATGACCCAAAGACTCCTCCCAGGAGGTGGGTATTTGCTCATAATCCGAGCTCTGCAGAGACCTGGCAGGAAAGGGAAGGGAGCGTGTGGGCAGGGGTCAGCTGAAGGCCATAAGTCCCTCCTTTTCAGCAGAAAGCAGATGCCCTTGCCTCCAAATCCCAAGGAGGAGCAGGCTGTGTGGCCCACAATGCCAACATGGGGGGTGGGAGTAGGGGGAGGGAATAGAAAAGCTTGTCCCCTGGAGTCACAACTTTCAGTCCTGTACCCCTTCCCTCCAGCTTTGTCATTTTTTCCTTAGCTGTGCAATGAGAGTAATTCAGGAAGGCCTCCCTGGCACCAGGCTGGGCCCTGGCTAATGGCCACCATAGCTCCTTTCCTTCCTGTGACACTCAGCACTCGTGATGGTGTCTGTTCACTTCTTCCCTGGACCGTGAGCCCAGGAGGGGAGGAATCAGTTTTCCTTTGCTCACCATGGGCTCCCATGGATTCCTTCATTCAGCAAGCACACATAAAGCACCTACTATGTTCCAGACACTACAATTAAACCAGTGAACAAATCACAGTTTGCCTCTAGGAAGCTTGCAGTCCCAGGGAAAGACAGACAGGAAGTGATTCCACGTGTAACATGGGGCAGTATTAATACTATGAAGAAATATATTCATAGATAATAGGGGATTAAATGAGAAAATGCATATAGTAAGTTCTCAATAAAGGTTATAAATTATAATTTTAATGACAACTGTCAAAACAACAATTATTAGTAACCCAGAACAAGGGTAATGCTGAAAGCATAGATTCTAGAGCCAAAACTAAGTGGGTCTGAGTTCCAATCCCACCACTGGAACTGTGTGGCCTTGGGTAAGTTACTCAAGTTTTCTGAGCTTCCATTTTCTCGTGATCCCAAAGAGTCAACGAGCCGTAAGTGACTAACCCTATGACGTAATGATCTGGGGGCCTCGAGGAACCCCGGCAATGACATGAATGATAGCAGCTTACATTTATTACACACTTAGCATGTGCTAGATACAATCACACTGTCTGTCCCATTAGACTGGACGCTCCATGGAAACATCCGTTCGCATGTGTCCCCGGCTCCTGGCACACAGTGGGCACACAACACATACTCATGGCAGGGCGGGGGAAGATGAGAGGACATCCCATGTCATCTTGACGACAACCCCAAGAGGGATACTGACCTTGCTCCCATTTCAGGCATAAGAACCTGAGGCTCAGAGAGGGTGTGTCACTGCCCGAGGTCACACAGGCAGTAAGGAGCAAAACTGAGTCTTGGACAGAGGTCTACTCTGACAGCGAAGTCCGAGTCCTGAATCCGTTGCTCTCTGGCTGCCCTGATGGACAGTCCTCCCTCACTCTCTCATTTCACAGTGAAGGGACCGGGGCCAAGGGACGTGTGCCAGGCACCCAGCACGGTGGCAGCAGACTTGGGATGCAAAGCAGCCTGCTGACTCAAGGGCACTTAACTGGAGGTCCCCACGTGGCCTGGGTGTGGCCACAGGGAGACCAGGTGAGAGGAGCCTGCACCTGCCAGCCCTGCAGGGCTCCTCACCTGTGTGTAGGGTGAGGCCTAGCCCAGCCAGCTGCCCCACAGCCAGAGGATGTCAATGGCGCCTGCCCCGTCGGCACTGCTGCTGAAAATACCTTCCAACAAAAATAACTGTCTTCCTTCTCCTTCTTCCCCTTGCTTTCCCCGCCCCACTCTTTCTCTCGGGCTCTCAGTGACTCATTCCAGGCTGCCCTTGGAGCGGGTCACTCTGCAGATCCCTGGTGATGCCCATGGCACTTTTGGCCGAATGTCTTCCGGTTAGAACTGGGGCACTGCTGGCACCTCTGTTAACCCCTTCTGGCCGAGAGAAGAAAAACATTGGGCTGCAGTGACTGAGGGCTCCACTCACCTTGTTCAAATCAGCCCACACCCTCTAGCTGGAGCAAGGGGCTCCCTGGTCTGGCCTCAGGGCCCTCTCCTTCCATACACCCAGAGCGTCACCTCCTACCTCTGACTCCTTGCCACCCTCCGGGATTGTTCATGTGGGTGCTAAACAGGCAGGTTACAGTGGAGGTGTGAGTACGTTTGCAGACAGTAATAGCTGCAGAGAGGATGGAGGAGCCATGAGGGCAAGCTTCATCTTAATCACCGTTGCCATGTCCCCAGCACCTGCATGGTACCTAGCAGGTGTAGACACTGGGTAAGGCATCTGCAGAATGAATGAGTGACCGCTGCTCTTCTAGGGGGAGTGGCAGCAGTGGGCTAGTGCCTGAGACTCCTGCCTAGATTGGCTGGATCGCAGCCCTCTGGGGCCAGACCAAAGCCTCGCAGCCCGGCAGGGGAGCCTCCGCATCTCCGGAGAAAGCTGGTTTGCTGGCTTAATAAGCCAAAGTGTCGGTTCCTTCTCCCAGGGCCCCGATCAGTGATCACACACGAGTCCCACATCACACACTAATTAGCGAGCGGGCTTGGGCACGGCTTAGTTCCATCTGACAGTGGCTGTGATTTTGCTGACAATTTTCCGAGGCTGAGAAAGAGAGAAAACCAGGGCAGGGAGGAAATGACAGCACAAAGGGGGCAGATGGGCAGTGGAGTGTACCCCGCCCTCCCACAGCCCAGGTGTCCATTAGCAAAGGTGCCTGCTGGTCAGGGCTCGTACTTGTTGGTGTCCTCACTGGGCGACCCGGTGTGGGTTCCTGAACTACTGTAAGCTCCAGTTCCCTCACCTGCAAATGCGATGGTCATGGCGCCTCTCTCACCTGGTTGGTCGGGGAGCGGGAGAACTCAGGAGAAGCCCTAAGCATAGCAACCGATTTATGGCAACTGTTCAGAATAGTGCCCTGATCAGTGCTTTTCACTCTCGCTTGAGGGCTGGCAAACGTGTTCTGAAAAGGGCCGGACAGTCCATACGTGGGGCTCTGCAGGCCATATAGTCTTTAGATAAGGCACTGCCCAGCTGGTTGAGAGCTTGGCCGTCTAGAAGCTTCTCTCGGGACAGCACAGTGGCAGGCCCTTGGACAGGCCTTGAGCCAGGGGCCTGAATAACCACACACCACCCTGCAGCCCTGGGCTTTCTGACCGCGCTGCTGTCCTGGCCTGGGGGAGCGATGCTTGCTCTCCAGGCAGTGTGGCCTCTCACAGATCCTCCTCGCAGCCTCCCCAGCAGCAGAGATGCAGGGAGGTCGCCCTGGGGCTGGCGCTGCATAGACCACTGGGCTCTGGGTCTGTCCCCTGGCCAGGTCACTCCTTCAGAGCCCAGCACAAACACCACTGTGAACCAGGCCTTCCAGAACTCTCCATCAGAGCATTTTGGTTAGGCTCCTCTTAGCTGACTCAAGATTCAACACATGTCAGATATCACCATCACCACCACTATCATCATCATCATCATCATCATCATCATCATTTTTTCTAGTGGGCTGTACATTCTGTGAGCGGTGGGCTCTGCCCTGGTCACTTTGTGTTTGTCGCCCCTGCAGTGCCGGGCACATAGTAGGGGCACAGAGCTTAGCTGGGTCCGAATGGGCACAAAGCTGTCACAGCACTAGAGCCTACACAGCCCCGGCATGGCATTTACGGGGCGGCCTTTGCATGGCAAGCTAGAAGCAGACACCCGGAATCCCAAACCCTGGGCGATGGGTCTGCTCCAGCCCGCTGGCCTATTCAAGACCCCAACCCTCCATCACTGCCCACGCGGGGCAGGTCCCTGAGGCTTGTTCGGTGAGCGCTGGCCCAGAGCTGCTGGGAGGCGCCAGTTCTGCCGTCCCATCTCCACTAACAGGTTCACCTTTCTAGCCCAGAGGTGACCCTACCTTGGCTGCAGTCTTCAGCTCGCCCCACTGGGCAGCCCCCAGGGGCACGGACACCCCATCCAGGCCCAGGCGGAGCTCCCCAGCCACGCTGTGGCGGGAGAAGCGGTCGCAGGTCCTCAGGGTCAGCGTCAGGGTGGCCGTGGGGAGCTCCTCCTCCGCCAGGGGCAGCGCCAGGCCCTCCTCCCAGGTTGTGTGCAGCTGCCGCTTCTTCAGAGCAGTCTGGGCCTCCACGGAGCCCGTCCTGTTGGCCACGCTGCCTTGGACATAGCAGTCACAGCCTCCGTCGTGGTCGCTGGTCACGGCTGCAGGCAAGGAGGAAGCAACACAGACGTGGGACTTCCGAGGACAAGGGGAGGGGAGAAGCACGCCCTGCTCGGGGCTGTGGGATCCAGCGTCATGGTCATGATCTCGGGTGTCTGCAGCAGCCCTGGGCCGAGCACCCCAGGCACCGTGGACCCGCCTTTCCGCACGACAGTTAGAAACAGGAGGGCCTCCGAGGGGTCAGTGTCAGCACATGCCAGCCCTCCTTGGAGAACAGGGGCCAGACATGCCGCTGGCCAGAGCCCTTCCAAACTGGTGATTCCGACATGGCCCCAGGGTGCCGGGCCCATGCAGACGGCTTTATCAGTGTTGCTGCTGAACCTGCGGTTCGTTTGTTCTGTGCTTTAAATATTTACCGTACGACCACACGCGTTGTAAATGTGAATCACTTGGCAGCTACCTCATGAATGTTGCCATTGAACCTTGCTGCTTTTAATGCTTCATGATGTGGATCTACCCAGAAATCTGCACCTGTGGTGCTCTTAGTTCTGGCTCTTCCATGATAATTTGGTAGCTGACATTTCACAGGCAGAGATGAAGACCTGAGGCCATGTGTCCTAAGAGCAATAGCTTCCCACTGAGGTTCAAGGGACTGTTCAGTCCGGGCTCTGTCCTCAGTTAGACTGAATGCTCTTAGACAAGTCGTATGAGTTTCTAGATCTTAGTTTCCTGCTCTGTAAAATGGGACTATTGTGAACAGGAAATGCAATAAAGCATATGAAAGTGCTTAAACATCTTAAGACAATAAGGAAAACCACTCAAAAACAAAAATCAAATACAAAATTGATTTTCCTGGTCCCATTGCTAGCCCTGATTCCTTTGCAAAGTCTTAGCTTTGTTTGCTAAGTGAACTGTAAAGTGAACGGTCAGGACATCCTGTCCCGCTCAGACTGCCTGGTTCTCAGATTCCAGAAACTTTTCTCACTGTTCAGAACACCCTGTCTAGCTCAAAACCCTGTCCGATGTCAAAGGCACCTACGTCAGAGGTGTCTAGCTGTTCACCAAAAACTATTTCCTCTTCCTCCTGGGCACCAGCTAGCCCATGTTTCCCAGACTCCTTTGCAGCTGGGTGTGGCCTCGTGGCTGAGTTACAGCCAATGGGATGTGAGCAGAAGCGAAGTCTGCCACGTCCAGGTTTAGGCTATTAAGGAATTGTCCTGTCCTCTCCTCCTTCTCTTTCTCCTTTCACTTGCTAGATGCAAATGGCAAGGAGGTTTGAGGGGATGATGGAGCCACAGATGGAAGGAAAGATGTTTCCCAACTAGGAATCCCTGCTTTTAACTGGAGAAAAGGAGAGAGACAGAGGGGGGTGGGGGGAATCTCTAGGCCTGAGTATCACACATCAATGCGTCGTGTGTTTTGGGGTCCGGCTGGTAGACTACTAATCCCGTGGTCCCTCCAGCTGTAGATGCCTGCACAGCCCCTCTAGGGGAGAGGGACGCACAGAAGCCCGTGCTAGTCAAATACGAACAGTACCTTCCAGACGCGTCACAAACAATTCCGCCTTCTGCTGGTCATAGTCCAGGCAGTAGTGGAGTTTGGGGGCCTGGTTCCAACTGGCAGCCTTCTCTGGGTTCCAGGTCTCCATGACACAGACATCCTCCACCACCCCTGTCAAAAGAAAGCCAAAACCGTCACCGCCAACCACACTGGGGTCCTGTTTTCCTGATCACGCCTTTCCCGTCTCTGCCACCTACGCCATGAACCCAAACCCAATCTTCCTAGCCGCGTGCAAAACCATGGCCACCACCCCAGGTGACACGTGCAGACACGGGCATGGCATTTCAGGGCCAGCAGAGCCCCGCAGTCTTTGGTGTTGGACGTGGGCTGCTACATGATAGCTGTGTGACCCCTGGACAAGCTCCTTGACTTCTCTGAACCTCAGTTTCCTCGTCTTCACAATGGGGGAGGTAACAGCGCCTATTTTCTGGAATTTCTGTGAGCATTAAACAAAACAAGGCACGGCAAGGCAGGCTTCTTAGCCCGGAGCCTGGCCCACAGCGAGCTTGCAGTGAGGGAAGCTGTCACAGCCTGTGTAGCTCTGCTGACCCTATTTCAGGCAAACCATCCCCACCCTACCTCCAGTTCCACCTCTCCCACAGAGCTAGCCCCTGCTCCCGGAGGTAACCGTTAGAGATACACATTGAGGAACAAGCTGGGAGTGGGTGCTGGAGGCAAAGTCAGGAGTGCTGGGTTTGACTTTAGTGCATGTTCCATAAAGACTTGCTGAGTGAATGAATGACCCTATCTCTAATTCAGAAGTTCCTAAAGCCCCCTATATTGCTCACTCTGCCCCTCACTTGAACAGGGACCTAACATCTGGAAGAGTCTCATGAATCAAACAGAACATAAGAATTAAAAGGATACAGCAGCTGCAGAAGACTCTGTTTTCGGCAAACTGGAATTCCGTGTCTGACTTTCAGAGCTAATTTCCAGGGTAGAAATATAGGGGATTATTTAATTTCCAAAAATGCTTCATTATTAAGTTCCTGTGAGTGGTGAAGATTTTCCCTAGTGCATCTAAGAAAGGAACAGATTGAGCAGGATGCAGCCAGTGTATAGACACACACACGCACACGGACCCCACGTGGCTTCCAGAGGCATCACGCTGACCAGGGCAGCAGTGTCGGCATCAGAACGGGCTTACTTGGCACCCGGAGTGCTCAGCTCTCAGGCAGCCTCAGCCTTGTCATCGAAACCAGCCCCACTTATCTAAGGTCTCTTACTATGGGTTGGGTGGGGGCTCTGTTCGGGTCCAGCATTGGCAAGTTGGCTCTGCTACCCTCCTCCCCCGAGAGAGAGAGACCCAAGAGCCAGCTCCACCTGGAAACGCAGGCACAGTCTTGGCCTCAAGAAGTGGGACTTGGAGCTCTAGGACGAGCGGAGAGCACTGTCACTGCTGGAGTGGCCACACTGGGCACGTGGTGGGGACAGCAGCCGAAGGATCTGGTGTCCTCTCCTACACTCCTTCACCTCTGGTCAGTATTTGCGGAACCAGCCACCCCTTGACAGATGTCCGTGGAATCAGAACTAGGTTGTTGCCCTCTGGGGTGGGGAAGGGAAGGAGGAAAACATGAAAAGGAGAAAACTAACAAGTGTGTCCTGGGTTTTCCAGAGTTGCGGGCACTGGTTTTGTGTTCCTGTTCTCCTTGGTGAAAAGTGTCCAGTCCTGGCTTCATCTGATCCTTGAGAAATCTGGGGTTCCCAGGAGAGGGGATGAGGATTAAGATTATTACCCACAAGAGTCCTCAGATCATCCACAGATCATCTCTGCCCCTCGGCCTTAAGCTCAAGTCTTAACAGGTCTCTTTATAAATCTATTTGAAATGTGAGCAGGCAAACCTGGAAGCTAAAAGCCAGCCAGGATTCGTTCCTGCACCAGGCCCCCCATGAACGTGCTCCTGAAATGCCAGGCCCATCCCTGCGGTCTGGGCCAGGGCCGACGGGGCACTGTCCACCGGCCGGCACGGGGGCTGGTTGGGTCCAGGCCAGGGGTCACATGAGGAGTAGGGTCAGGATCAAGTGTCCAGTGCCTCCCTCAGCAACCACGCGGAGCAAAACCCCAGACCACACAACCATCTGCCCTCCCGGCCGCTTTCTGTTTTGCCTCCCTAAAATGCCTACATATTCCTCTGGGTTAGGGACCGGTCTCTGCTCACATATCTGCCCCAGTGCCTGGCACCAGTGCCAAAGGTGTTGCGTGCGTTATGCTGATGCTGACGAAAAGGAGAACAGAGACAGTAACAATATGTTTTGATTATACCCTTTGTGAGTTGAGCACTCTGTACGCACTCTTTCACCTACACTATACAACAACCCTATCGATCCCATTTTATAGATGAGGAAACTGAGGCCCAAGGAGGTTAGCAGCATGACCAATGCCACACGGCAAGTACATAAAAGGGCAGCAAATTACACCCATGACTCTGAGGCCCACGGTGTTAGCCATGACTCTTCATCTGCTGTCCACAGTTGCACACACGGCCTGAAAGGCACTCTCCATTTCCCAGCGGGAAGCTGGAGGTCGGTGGGGAGAAGCAATGTGGCCACGTGTCAGCGGGCATAAAGGACTGTGATTCCCAGACCCAGCGCCCGCCGCCTGCTCCGTGGCAAACGCCGTGGACACCGGGGCTCTCCGATGGCCCGCAGCCTGGCCACGCGCAGCGCCTGCAAAGGTGTCGACGAACCCGCCTGGGTGCGCCCGCAGAAGGGCGGGGGCAGGAGACCCTACCATTCTGAGGAAGGATGAACAGCTCCTCTGTGACCTGCCTCTTGAGGCGACTGTCACTCGGGGCCTGGGGGCTGGCAGGCGCCGCCGGCTCCTCCGTGGACCTCAGCGTGTAGTCCGCGTAGTTGATGACCTCGGGAGCCGTCACCGCCGGCCTGGGTCCATAGATGTCTGGGAACTTGAGGAGGGCTCGGGGCTGGACAGGCTCCGTGGATTTTTTAACATTAAACTGCAAAAGCAAATCACTGGTTAGTCCATGAGGGAACCTCCTGCCTGTTTTCCACTCGTGTACGGTTCCATTCTGCCCCGAAGAGCACAGGCTGGGAAGGTCACAGGCCAGCTCCAAACCCACGAGAATCCACAATCCACTGAGATGTGGGCCCATCCAGCTACCCCTTCCCCCATCCGTCCGCCCACTCATCCTACGGCCGTGCCCGCGGGCATCACAGGGCCTGTGGCAGGTGGTCCTCCCTCTGCCTCCTCATGCTCTCTCCTCCTCCTCTCCCTCCTCCTCGCCACCTAATGGCTCAGAGATGCCAGCGGCTCCCACCGCAATCCAGACACTGCAGCGACAGAGAGCCTGCCTCGCCTGGCCCTGCACGCTCTCTGAAAGTGCCCCAAAGCCTTCTCCCTTTGCCCGCCGGCCTCCGCGTCCCCTGCTTCTCAAATAGGCTCCTTCTCACACAGTCACATGCAGGCCAGCTGTGCCGGCTCCGGAAGTCATCAGCTATGAAGACCACACGCCGAGGTCCACGGAGGAGCCTGCTGCACCTGCCAGTTCCCAGTCCGGCTTCCCCCAGACAACCCACCCCAACCTCCACCTGCTCTCTGCGTGGCTGGCTCCATCTCACACCTGAAGCCTCACCAGGGAGGTCACCTCTGACCCTCCTGTCTAAATTAAGTTCCTCTCCCAAGCCTGGCCCTCCCTGTCACCACATCCTACATCTTTGCTTTGCAGCACTGATCTCACTCTACACTATCTTGGTCACGGGTTGGCGTGTTTGCGGTCAATCTCTTCCACTAGAATGTGAGATCCATGAGCACATGGATTATGTCTTGTCTGGCTCCTGCTTTGTCCCTGGTGCCTAGCATAGTGTCAGCTCACAGGGAGCATGAAACCCATACCTGTGACTAGGGCGGCCATGTTCGGTGGTATGGCTCGTGCACTGCACAAAGGTGCCTGGATGAGGGCCAACCGGGAGACCAAAATGCAGCCTGTGCACTATTTGCTCAGTCGTGTGCCCTGAGGCGGGGGGCTCAGGCACTTGGAAGAAAGAGAATCTTTCTTTACATAGAGACCTATTTGTCTAGACTTTAGAGGAGGCTGCCTCACACAGAGAGTGGAATCTTCTGTCTTTGCCTCCACTGGGCACTGAGCTCCCTCCTACTTGAGGGATTATATAAACTTACATAACAGGCAGGAAACTGGGGACTGAGGAGCAGACCTAGAGCTGGAAATGCCGGCATCCTGGGTGGCCACAAATGACCCTCAGGGTAAGGCACGCCGGACCCGGACCCGTGGCAGAGACTCCAGGAAGCCTCCTGACTTCCATGCGGGCCCTCCCCTTCCTGTGGCTGTCTCTGGTGGCCAGCCAGTGGCAGGGCAGTGTGGGGCGGGCAGGTGCCGTCCGCAGGGGGAGGGCGCTTAACAGCTTAATACTGCTTCAAAGTTTGTGTGTAGGCATTTGCACCTTCTATATTTAATCACCCCAGGATAATTCCTGCCCATCCTGCCGGGTTGAGACTCTGCCCCCAGCCGTTCCTGAGGGAGGCTGGACCCAGGTGACAGGGGCATTTCTCGATTAGCCTCACTCATTGAACAAGTGGCTGGGGTGTGCACGGGAAGGCACGGCAGGGCCCAGAGGAAGAGGAGGAGGAGCGGCCTTGCCTGGACACCCCCTTCCTGCTGGGCCCCGTCTGGGTCCCGCCCCGGCATTGCCGCCAGTATCTTCAGAACTCCCCTAAGACGTGGAGACTATCCCCCTTGCATAGAAGGGGAAACTGAGGCTCAGAGGGGATAAAACACTCCATTGTCCTCCCAGAAACACCACCCAGCAGATCATAATGCAGCCAAGCACAGAGCTGACCCGTCTGATCACGCTGAGCGTGCCGGCGCGTGCGGGCTTCGAAAGCTTCTCTTGCTTCCGTGGAGTGAAGCCGCCTGGACCGCGCAGCTACGGGGGGCAGCGGCGCTAAGCCTGTATCAGCTGGGTCCAGAGCCTGCTGCCCCTGCGGCTCTCGACGTGTGTCCTGCCTTCCAATCTTTCCCAAGCACGGCACCCCATCAGAGACTTTTGTCATTACCTTGTCACATGTAAGGAACTAGGTGTCCTGGGAGGGACCTGCGTGATTTGCAAAGTCAGGCCCCTTGGGCACCTCCGCGTGTACTGAGAGTGCCGCAGGGCAACGAGGGGCTGGCTTCCAGGACAGACCCCACCGCTAGAACTGGGTAACTTTTGGCAAGTCATTTTGCCTCTCTGGGCTGTCACCTCAAGTGACAGGCGACTTTGGGGTTTATCCCACTTCACATTCCGAGCTGCTTCTGGGGGCTGCAAAGAGGCGGGAGACCGTTGCTTTGTTTGCAGGTGCAGGTGAGTTGGGGAGACGGCCACACACAGCAGAAGCAAATGGCAAGTGCGTTTGGCGGTGCGGGACCGCAGCACAGAAGCAAGCGGAGGCGCTATGTGTGAATAGCCCATGGCAGCCGCCCGCCATCCACGCAGGGGCGATCACAGAGCCCAGGCCGGGCTTCAGGGAGGGGCCGGGGTGTGAGCTGGACCTTGAGGGAGACGAGAGTCTGGAAGGCAGAGGGAGGGTGGGGAGAAAGTCTATGCTCCTGACACCAGGCAGCCCAGGGCCCTGGGAGGAGACACAGAACAATGACTAATGTCCCCATGTCTTTCCATCCTCCACAAGTCACATCCACCCCCAATATCTCATCTAAGTCCAAGTTATATTTATTCTATTTCACAATGAGGAAACTGAGGCTCAGGGAAGCTCAAGATCATAGAACTGGCATATGGTCTGTATCATCAAGAAGCCTTCAGATGTTTTGACTTCAAATTTCATGTCATTTCCACTGCCCTACAGCTGCCTCTCAAACAAAAGAAAACAAAGCAAATAAACCCCTGTTTGTCTTGGATGCTGGATTGTAAGTGGCAGCCACAGCATCCTGGGGTTCTGGCCACCGCCGGCCCCCGCTGTACATCAGCACACAAGAGCTCCCAGAGGCTGCTGGGCCCCAGCCCATCCCTGACTTAGGGTCACCCTGCCCTGTCACTTGTTGGGACAAGATAAGGCTGTTTGGATAGTTGCGGAACATGTTTGTGTTTATATTTGGTTTCATTCCATTGCAATCATCCGAGAAAAGGGCTCAGTTGCATTCCCAGTGTGATCCAATCGGGCTGATCTTGCATTTTGGGAAAATCAGCAGCAGCTCAGTTCTGAGCGAGGTTCGCTCTGTGTTGCCCCAAGTCTCTGAAGACCCTGAGACTGCCTTCCTCTCTCCTCCGTGGGTCTCAATCTATGGGCCTCTCATGTTTCCAGGAGCCTATTATAAGTGCTTAAAATCCACCCCTAAAGCAGTAGATTGGGGTGTTCTTGGTTGTCCCCCAATATCCGTCCCCTCTCTCCTCTACCTTTCCTGCATATCACCAGGCTGTCTAGGTGCCACCCCTCCCTAGCTCCCAGGTGAGGTTTGTTTGGCCTGATCCTGCCAGTTCTTGGCACTATCTTGGTGACGGTTTCTGGCCCAGGGGTTGGCACCTGTCCTGGGGAAGCCAACCCCTTACCTTCCACGGTAGTAGAAGAGATTCTCTCCCCCCATGGACAGGAAGCATGTGGCCCTGTCTTGTGACTGCAAGGTGAGTCAGCCTTGGGACAACAGAGTGGAGAGACAGAAAGAACTCGAGTCCCTGATGAGAATGCCATGAACCTACTGAATCAACCAACCCTGCAATCTGTCCTACGTCTGCACTTTGCCTTACATGAGCAGTATCATTCTTGTTTAAGCCTGTTTGAATTGGGGTTTGTGCCTTGCAGCCAAGAGCAGCCCAAGCCGACGCACTGCATTTTTAACAAACAGTGCATCAGCTTAAGAGGAGACCGGGACCCTGGTGCAGAGAAACCAGGCCTGGGGTGCACCGTCCCGTCTCGAATCTCTCTGCGTTCGTGCTCACCTGCTGCTTATCCCGATCCTGCCTTACCCTGTGTGGCACATGGCTCCATTAGCACGGAATGACTTACAGCCCTGCCCAGGCCAAGCGCAGAGTCTGATGATAGCTACACGAGTCTCTTCAAGCGGTGAGAGCAGCGGCTGATTACCTATCTCCTCCTCTTGTGCCACCTTATTTATTGCACTTCAAAAGCCCGGTTCCACCACATCTTTCAAATGCGTCTAGTTCCACTTACACAGCTAAAACTGCAGGGCCGGAGAAGCAGAAAACAGGTTTGGGCGCCGAGGAAGCGAGCCTGGGAGAAGTGACAGGTGAAGAACAAGGACGTCTGGGGGCAGGCGGTGCTCAGGCTCCAGAGAGAGAACTGAGCTCCAACCTCACACGGTGGGTGCAGGCGGGGCAGGACTTCCAATCAGGGATTCTCTGTCTACATGGCCCTTGAACCCCAAGCAGAGGACCTGGGAAATACACGTGCAGGATGAGTCAGGGAAAATTTCCAGTGGGACAAGCATTGAACAATCAGGAAATGGGTACCTGCTGTGCTCGGCGTTGCATGCCCGTCTAGACAGAAGGCTCTCACCCTCGGGCAGTGCTCAGAGCCTTCTGATGCACATCCTTGGGTTCCCCAGCCACACCTGTCTCCAGCACCTTTGGCCACTTGCTTCTCCTACTGCGGCCGACTCTGCACGCACCCCAACCAGCTTCCCGTGGGCACAGCCCCACCAGGCCTCACACAGTGCCCCGGCCGCCCCTCTTGCCTCCTGCCCTGGGCTTCTCCATGGCTGCTGAGGTGTGAGGCACCCAGGGACACTCTGTCCACCCAAGAGCAACCTAGATGTGCAAAGACTTAAAACTCCACGGGGAAACTCAACAAAAAACCAAGCCCCTGGGTTCCAAAATGGGCGAAGGACTTAGTTCCCCAAAGAAGATACACAATGGCCAATAAGCACATGAAAAGATCCTCGGCATCACTGACCGTCAGAGAAATGCCAATCAAAACTACGAGATACTACCTCCCACCCACTAGGGTGGCTCCTGTCAATAAAACAGAAAA